TGTGCAAAATCCAGGGTAGCACCGCTTAAAATAGTAAGTCTTCCGCGATTGGAACTTTGCGTTTTTTTATTGTTAACTCGATTGTTAAATCAAGTCACTCTTGTCTTAAAATTAAATAAATTTGAAACATATTACTGGACGGACTCAAAAATCGTACTTGCTTGGCTGGCGGCCGAACCATCAACGTGGAAAACCTTTGTAGCCAATAGAATCTCTGAAATTCAAACCACGGCCAGGGATACAAACTTTAATCACGTAATGTCGGCTGAAAATCCAGCCGATATAATTTCTCGGGGCGCGACAGTACACGAATTATTCAATACGCCACTTTGGTTTCAGGGCCCACCTTGGTTAAAAACAAATAAAAGTAACTGGCCTATCGCAAAGGTTAATGAACCAATAGATCTGCCGGAGACTCGTAGTTTCACCGTTCTTGCCGATAATTCCGACAGTTTCGATATTTTTAACAGGTATTCTAAATTTAATAAATTAAACCGAGTTGTAGCCTATTGTATAAGGTTTTTCAACAATTTAAGACATCCCAATAGCAAACAAACAAGTGAATTGTCTGTATCCGAATTGTCGGATTCCCAAAATAAATTAATCTTGCTGGCCCAAGCACAATCATTTAAGATAGAAATCGCGGCACTCAAAAATAAGAGTCAATTAAAGGCCACAAGTAACATTCTCAGTCCCTTCATTGATAAAAATGGTGTCTTGAGAGTAGGAGGCAGATTGAGGCATTGAGATGTACCATACGCCCAAAAACATCAAGCGTTACTATCACAATCCCACGGATTAACGAAATTAATTATTACACACGAACATGAAAAATTATTTCACGCCGGACCACAAGCTACTTTAGCTGCGCTGAGGCAACATTATTGGATAATTAACGGACGGGGGGTTGTGCGTGGCGTTGTACGAAAGTGCCTAATTTGCTTTAAGGCAAAACCAATTTTAACTAAACACTTAATGGGTGATTTACCAAGGAAACGCGTAGTACCTAATCGACCATTCTTAACTTGCGGGGTAGATTACGCTGGACCATTTAATATTAAAGACGGTACTACTAGATCTATAAAGCTTGTTAAAGTTTATATATACCTGTTTGTATGTTTTAGTACAAAGGCAGTACACTTGGAGTTAGCGGGTGATTTGTCAACAAATGTTTTCCTTAACTGCCTTAAGCGATTTATGTCTAGACGCGGGTTTTGTGCGGATATCTACTCGGATAACGCTACAAATTTAGTTGGCGCTAAAAACGTCCTCGATAAGACTATGTCTGACCCGGCGGTATTAAATTATTTAGGCGAAAATCGTGTTAATTGGCACTTCATTCCGCCTAGATCACCCCATTTTGGGGGGCTCCATGAAAGAGCCATAGGCTCTTGCAAGTATCACTTAAGGAGAATAGTAGGTGACAAAAATTTAATTACGAGGCCTTTCTCACAATACTTACACAAGTAGAAGCCATTTTAAGTTCGCGTCCTTTAACGCCTCTATCAACTGACCCACACGATCTTAACCCCTTAACCCCAGGGCATTTCCTAATCGGGTCCGAATTGATCTCCTTACCTGAACATGACCTAACCGATATTCCTTTAAATCGCCTGAATAAATTTCAATTATTACAACAATGTATACAACACTTCTGGCGTCGATGTCATTCCGAATACTTAACTACCCTACAAGCTAAAACAAAGTGGAAGCAAGCACAGGGAGATTTCATTAAAATTGGCACAATAGTTTTAATTAAGGAAGATAACGTTCCACCAATGAACTGGCCTTTAGGACGAGTAAGGGAGGTGTTTCCAGGAAAGGATGGTATCGTCAGGGTGGTAAATGTACAAACAAAAAATGGGTTGTTTAAGAGAGCTTGTTCCAAGTTAGCAGCCTTACCAATGGATGATGACAGCAATTAACCATTATTCTTTGAAAGTAGTAGGATACTTTCAAGGGCGGCGGCATGTCCGAGTGGACAACACCCTGTATAACAATATTGCCATGCGGCATAGCGTACATACGCGGAGGAGAAGGTCGCGAGCAATGATAGCAGAAGAATCAAGTGATACTGTGTAAAGGTGCAAACTTTTAAACAATTTTAATTATGTTATGTATACTGTAAACTATATGTGAAAGGGTGGGCCCACTATTGTGCGTGTGATAAACTTAAATGTGAATTTTAACAATTTTACTGTCCAACTGAAGCGTGCGAATCCAGAAAATCCACGGGGAACACAACATCTGTACAGTCCACTAAAATAAAACGGCGGCCAATAAGGTAAGCCCCCCACACTATTAATGGCCCCAGCCCGATGTTCTGTGTCAAAGTCGAACTCCTGTAGTCTCTCAATTCATATTGGCCCCTTCTTAAATTGCAAAAGCCATTGTAGCAGCATGGTAGCAAGAATTTTTTTATACACGTACTTGTAAAAGTGTTTTACTGACTGCCAACAACTCGCGTCGAGTAACGCAGTAATTACGTTCTGGTTTGGATAGAGTTTTACTGAAGTATCCGATAACTTTTTTCTCCTTCTTAAATCTGAGACAAAACAGGTCCCAGGCCCACATTACGGACGGCAACCGTGTCCAAAATAAATCTAAAATCCTGGAGAGAATAACTCAGGACCGGTGAGATGGTTAACGCGTTTTTCAGATCCTGAAAATCTCCTTGGCACTTCCGTCTCATTGAAATCATCACCCTCTCTCTGTCTAACGTGTCAAAGGCTTGGCAACCTTCGCGAATCCTGGTAATTTCCGATAATAATAGTAGGTGCATAATCCAAGGAAGTTTCTTAAATCATGTTTATTTTTTGGTATCGCCCATTCCAGCACCGTCTTCACCTTCTGTTTATGCATTGCCACTCCTTGACTTAACATGACATGGCCCAGATACTGAACTTTCCTCTGGGACAAGTGACATTTATTTGGGATAAGCTTTAGGCCGAAACTTTTTAAGTGCTGAAAAACTTTCTTCTGTTTCCCCATATGGTCCCTAAATGATTTGCCAATCACAATGATGTCGTTAAGGTACCCCAAGAATGTCTTTCAAGATTTTTATTTTAAAACCATTTCCATGAGCCTTTCAAAAGTTGCAGGTGCATTACACGGTCCAAACGGCATGACGGTAAACTGCCACAGTCCTGCACCCACGGTAAACATTGTCCTCTCTCTATCTTCTGGTGCCATTTTAAGCTGCCAGTAACCGCTCTTTAAATCCAACGTAGAAAATATTTGTGATCCAGACAATGTGAAGCTGTCCCTTCTTCGTCACGTTGTTCAGCTGACAAAAATCGATGAAAAATAGAGTTTATCTATCTTTTTTCTAAACTAACACCACTGGAGAAGACCATGGGCTGTTGAATGATTTGATCAATCTTTTCTTCTCCATTTCTTGCACAATTTTATCAGCTTGGCAAGTGGCAGCCTTCTTGCCGACTGTAGAATAGGTTGTGCATCACCGCTGTTAAATTTATGATGGACAGTTTCTGTCCTACCTTTCTTTCCTTGTCCATCGTCAAATACACTCTGATAATTGTTTATCAGCTTTCTTAGCTTTGTCTTTTTATTGGGTTTTAAGTCCTTTGAAGAATATGACAGCACATTCGTCATTTCATTGCTAATTTTCTAACACCACTGGAGAAGACCATGGGCTGTTGAATGATTTGATCAATCTTTTCTTCTCCATTTCTTGCACAATTTTATCAGCTTGGCAAGTGGCAGCCTTCTTGCCAACTGTAGAATAGGTTGTGCATCACCGCTGTTAAATTTATGATGGACAGTTCCTGTCCTACCTTTCTTTCCTTGTCCATCGTCAAATACACTCTGATAATTGTTTATCAGCTTTCTTAGCTTTGTCTTTTTATTGGGTTTTAAGTCCTTTGAAGAATATGACAGCACATTCGTCATTTCATTGCTAATTTTCTTGGCCGGGACTGCAGACTTACGAATAATCGAGAAAACCGAAGAACACTTCCCCAAAGCAACTCGATTCTTCAAGTTCACAGTACCCATTAAGATTCAATACTCTTACACGCACTTCTTTTTCGACATGTATTAAAGTCTTCCCTACTAAAATTCCTTGACCGAACTCTGTGTCATCAATTATCGGCTCAAGCATACGTCCATCTTCTCATTTACAGTCCAAGAAAGCCTTTAATATCATCTCGCTATGTTCCTCTCTTAAAGCATTTTTTGTTAGCATTACACGAATATTCTTCTCTTTCGATCGATGTAACACTACTTCTTCTCCATTTACCCTCAATATTCCTAGTTAAAAGTTAAGTTCAAATCCTATAAAGTTCATAATGTCCATGTCTAAAATAACTTCATCTTCAATATCTGCTACTAATCCTAGATGTTTTAATTTCATGTTTCCTATGACCATCGTCCACTTCTCCACGAAAAGTAGTGGAATCTCCTGTTGCAGTACGTAGTCGCCGATTGGTTATTTGACCTTTAACATTTCGACAATATCTGGCCTAATAATTGTTTTCGTCACACCGTTATCCAGCAGCAGCACATATATTTTTTAATTAATAAAATTATCTTCAAAAACACTGCTGGACTGGTGTAGAAGAGATGTGACACGTTGGATATCTTCTGGGGCATGCTGGTTAAAGGTCGACGGTGGCCCCTTTTCTTCGTCCCTATACTTTTCGACTGAGATGAAGTCGGCGCCACCTGGCTTCCTCTGCAACAACTTCGTATTTTCCTATCGTTCCATACCTCCAACACATGATTTCCTTTTTATCTGGTTTATTTTCTTTAAAAACTCGCCAATTGCTTCAATTATACTTCAATTCTAGGCTGGCTTCTCTGCTTTGCCGCCTCGAATTCCAAAGCTCGAGCCAGTTCATTAACCAGTTGGCTCGGACGACCTAGTGTCAGCGCCTGTGTTGTTTCGTTGTTCATCCAAAAAGGATTGAACAGCTAATCGTTCCATAACGGTCGTTGGAGTAGCTTGATATGCAAGGTATATCAGCCTCAAATTCTTGCTAGTCTCGTTTGATTTCTGGCAGCGATTCTTTAGTTGGAAACGGTACACATGTTCTTTGGGTCTCCTCGTAAAGCAAGAGTCCATGCTGTAGCCTCCTCTTCTGGACCGAGCCATTTGCTTTTGCTGCTGCCTCAAACTGACGGATGTAACTGGTCCAAGAAGTTTTTTCATCGAACTGAGGTGGTTTCATTCGAACTCGGCTCCCCTCCGGTACTGTTCCTTGTGTCGCCAGCATCATGGGTAAATTAACAGCTGTCAATTTACTAGTTATTTAATTTATTTTGACTTTTTGAATTTTTCATTTAATTCCATCTTTACGTTGTAAAAATTCTTTTCTACTTTCTAATTCCATTCTTCTCTTCAAATTTCATGCTAGCGACGTCAAATTTCTGCTCCATTTTCTCATCTAATTCATTGACATTATCTATAATCTTTTGTTCCAGATATTCTTTTAAATTTTTAGAATTTTCTGTTGTAAATCGCTAAAATTTCCAGCATTTTCTGTTAAAAATTGACTTATGTATCTTTAAAATGTTCTAGCATTTTATGTTGCAAAGCGTCCTTTAAATCGTTGCCAAAATATTCTTTAAAAAAAATTTTAATTCACTTTTCAAGTTTTGCAACAATAAATGCATATCAGACGGGCCTTCAAATAAATACGTATCTGGATTTTCACCCTTCTACCCAACGCTTCTTAAAACCGCTGCTGCAACATAATATTTTTTACAGTTGTTTCACATTCCTTTTCTTCCAGCTCCCGCCACTTTTAAGTCCATTTTCGCCAAGTTTCACACTAAGCCCTCACGGTGTGGGCCACACCTGACACCAATTGTAACGTTTTTGTGGTTCGACAGTGTAAATAAAATACGGACTGGTTTATTAACGAACTAAAAGAATTATTATTATAACTCAATTACAATTAAAATACTAAGAATCACTTAACAACTAATTATTTGTATATTACTGTTATACAAAAGTATCTTTATTTGCCGTATATTTAATTTATTTCGTTGCGAGTGCCAAAGCTTGACCGCTGTGCCTTATATATCCAGGGCGTACGTGATCTACATGAGGTCGAATTTTGGAATTGGTCCAAACACGGTGCATAATAAAATTGCAGCCAATTACTAAAAACCCACTAAATAGAAGAAAACCAAATAATTATCAGCCTCATAAAAGTTTTTATGTGGCCAGGACATAATCAATTACTTTAGTGTCAAGTATTAACAATGAAGTTTAATTTATAGACCGCTTTAATATAAACAAATTTATTTGATATTTATATCTAAAATAAGCAAACAATTAATCCCTAATCCACGCCCTTGAAGGGTGGCCCTTCAGGTATAATTTATTATAATTAAAAAATAATAATCATTATTGTTGTTTATACACAAACAAGTAAGAGGTTACTTTTTGTACAATAAATACATATTTCAGCCCAAATTAAATCATTTTGTAGCTGTCAACCCAACCATTAATGTCTACCAGAAGAATAAATTTGCCCGAGATCACAATCCACACAACAAGGTCTGTTCGATCTTTATTCGCGCTTGTTAAAAATCACGAAATTAGGCAACCTAGTATACATTCATACTTTAGACGCCATTTTCATTGTTTACAATTTCATTGTATTCGATTCATAACAAATTCTACTTACTTGACATTTTTTCTGCTCTTTATTGCATTTGGTATGCAAAGAAGAATAATTTCCTTGAAGGTCAAGACATCGTTCACCGTCGGCCATGTTATCACATTTGTAACACCAGAGATCATGTTGTTTTTCTGTTGCTGCCTTTGTTCTGTGTGTTTCGCTCGCTATTTGTAAAATAAAAAAAGTTTAGTAAGATGTCCCAAAAATGGTACAGTAACGTCATAATAAACGATACCCCATTTTCCTATAAGTAGTTTTTGGGTATATATTTAAAAAAAAAACTTGTCAACATTGTGTACCTAATAAACGGATCTGATGATCTGATAATCACATATTATGAAACATAATTTTACAAACCGTACGACGAGCCTAGCCACGAATAATTTTATGATATGAGATTATGTTTTGCATGCTTGTCATTGGTTTCTGATTTCAAGACAAGTATGTTCTGGCTACCCTAATAATATCATCTAGGACACTAAAAAAATAAATTATATTCTTGACTTATACAGATAAAAATTTTCAAGCTTATTAATCATTGTCACAGTAAAAGCAATCACTAAAATTAAGACGCGGTAAATTAATTTGAAATAAACTACGCACCACTCAATGTGTCGCGACCAAGAAGTTCGTTCTTTTTCAAAACGACATAACTTTTTTGTTTCTAAAACGATTTAATTTTGGTTTGTGACGTCTGCTAGCCTCATCCTCCGGCAATTTATGCTATACGGTTGGCCAAGTAAACTTCCTAATACAGGGTGATATGTTAAACTGTGAAAAATTTCAATAACTTTATCCAAGCCCCGTTTGTAAAAAAATATTTTTTTTTTCGTTTTTACTTTGAAATAATAAAGAATTATGTGTTACCTTGAAACGTTTTTCAAATTTTTCGAATTGGAATCTTAGCAACGAAAATATGATTTTTTTTCCAAAAGAGTACATTTAAGGTTTTTTTTAGGCAATACCCTCAGTCTTTTTAGGAACAAGAAGATAAGATGGTGAAAGATTGTTCCTTAAATAATTCTGAACAAGCGACAAGCAACAAACTTCCATTATTTTCAGATGGGCCTAAGCAAAGACTACTTTTTCAAAATGACATTTTGGTGAAAATTTGCGAAAACTAAACCTGAACCGATATTTACGTTCGTGACATGTTTTCTTTATAATTTTGACCTCCTGATTGTGATTCGGTTGTCAAATTTAAGTTTCAGATAAAACCAAATCCATCAAGGATCAAAATTCTTGTTCTTAAAAAGACTGAATATATTGCCTAACAAAAAGCCTTAAATGTACTCTTTTGGAAAAAAAATCATATTTTCGTTGCTAAGATTCCAATTCGAAAAATTTGAAAAACATTTCAAGGTAACACATAATACTACATTATTTCAAAGTAAAAACGAAAAAAATATTATTGTTTTATAAACGGGGCTTGGATGAAGTCATTGAAATTTTTCACCGTTTTACATATCCGAAACCGTATGCTTAATATCTATAGCATGAATTGCCAGAGGATGGGGTTAGCAGACATCAAACACCAAAATAAACTCGTTTAAGAAACAAAAGAGTTATGTCGTTTTGAAAAAGGACAAACTTTTTGGTCGCGACACATTGAGTGGTGCGCAGTTTAGAAACAATAGTCAATTTGATTGCTTAAAAGCTTAAACAGAAACTTATGGCTAGAACAAACACTTCTAAATTTTGGAGGATCCATATTGAAACGATCTAGAAGAGATTGCTGATTAATAGTGGGATTCATTTTATCCAAGCGAAAAGACAAGAGTTTTAAAAATTTTAGTTATATATTTTTAAGCATAATTATAAAATTGTTATAATATAAATTCCACATAATAAAACAATATTCCCATTTAGGTCTAAAAATGCAAAAATAAAGAGAATTTAAGGGAAATTCATTAGTAAAGCCAAAGGAGTTTCTACTTATGAAACCTAGTAATCCTCAACTACTAGAAACAATTTGATGCACATGACCATTAAATGAATGACAACTTGCTATCGAATAATACTCCTAAATTATCGACATAGTCAGTTAGCTCTAAATTAACATTATTAGCTTTATAATTATAAAGAAGTAGAATTCTTTAAATAAGATTTGATAATAATATCAGGACCTATCAGAATTTACTTTAAAGTTTCAAAAGCAGGTCATTTCTTTACTAGTAAAACAAAAAATAAATTAAAAACTTATTCACTTTCGCTAATTCAACCAAGGGGAGTTAAGGAGTTGTTGTTAATCCAAAGAGAACTGAGAAGAACTTTAAGAAGAAACAACTACTATCGGTACATGACTTTTTAAAAATACAAACCAATTGTAACCTTGGCAAAAAAACACTTTGTGGAATTGCAAGTAGTATCAGAGTGGCTACTAAAAATAGCAAAGTTATCAACCCGACTTGAAGAGGAAAATTTCAAATAACACCCATTTTGTCCACAAACTTTTCGGAATAAAGGGTTTTGTTTTTGTGAAGATAAAGGCTAACGTTTCGATTAATGCTAAGGAATAGCTGCTAAACGATTTTAAGATTTAGGGGTAAAAAATTGTTTATTCTTGGTTTAGCGCAATGCTTACAAGAAAATTATGAAAATGTATCAAAATTATGGACTGCAATCAACATCAATGATTTTAAAGGAACAATTGGAATTGATTTAAAACTTGCAAATATTCTGGTCGGCAAGATGTTGCACATCATTTTTTTCCTGTACATGGTGTTACGTCAAAAAAAGATAAACTTGTCACTTTAAAAAGTACTACTAACACCTTATAAAATTATACGGATTGCCTTAAAGCGGGAGCTGTAAAGGAGAAGGCATCCGCCTCTTGTAGATAAAATATTTTTAAATAATATTACTTTTCCAGAATTACACCTAATGCCAGTGTTGCCAGTCGGATTTTTTTTCACCCTAGCAAGCAAGTATAAATTTCCTAAACAGATTTTACCTATATTTGTTTTATCCCGTTTATAAATTAAAAACTTAGTATTTCAGTCAGATACAGATTTTATTTGTGCTTTGCTTTCGGTCTCTACTTATAATAAAAAGCTTTTCTATTTAGCGCTCTTTTAAAATAAGAGACCGAAAGCATAGCACAAATAAAATCTGTATCTGCCTAAAATACTGATAACTGTCAATCGCCGAGAGAATACCTAGATATATTACGGAAGATATTATTTAATATCAAGCAGTGAGTAGAGTTTAAACGCTGTAAGTTCGATACCTACTTTAAACATTTTAGATAACATAATTTTATTGGGTTGTAATAAGCGGTTTAAATTTAATCACTCAATCAGACTTTATAACTTTTTTAGTTAAATGATTTAAAAATAGAAATATTAAAATATTTGACTAAAATTGTGCATATGTTTAATTAGAAATAATCCAGAAGGTACACACTCTAACAATCCAAAATTTTAAGATAAAAAAATCTTTTATTGTGTTGTAATAACTGGATCGAATTTCAACACAAAGACTTTATATGTTTTTAGGAATTTTAAAAAATAGCTAAACATTGCGATTTGTCTAAGATCTGGTATTTTTAATTTAAAATATCTTTCAGGAAACATTATTTTATTGTGTTTCAATGATATTTAGGCCTTTTGGAAGCACATTAATTATTAAAATAAAAATAAATAAAATTAATAAAATAAATAGTAGATTATGTCATAAGGAGTAGAAGTGACTCTTTTTGTGGTGAGCTACGCTTCGGCCGTCAATCTCTGTACTCACCACAAAAAGAGTCACTTCTACTCCTTATGACATAATCTACTACTGCCTCAGTGAGGCAGGCAAGTGTACGAAGAAGAAAAAGAGCTTCTACTCCAAATAACATATACTATTTTTTTTATATAAATAGGATAAGCAATAGAATTATTTTATTTACTTAAATTAACATTAAATGTACAATTACACACACTGCAGCTCTTCAATTAAATCACTCATGTGGGATAAAATTTTGGCTAAAAGCATTAGAAATTATTGATAAAAACTAAAAAAAACTTATAACTCTTACTTACAATGCCGATAAATATGCTAATTAATACATCGTGATTGCTTTGTATTAAATGCTAAATTAACTTTATTATTTGACGTCTATTGAGTCACCTATGGATTTACTTCTATCTCTAGTTTTTTTTTCTGCCGCTAATAAAAAAGACGCACTTTAACTATATCTATACCTCTATTTCCTAAACAAAAAAATTAACACATACCTCGGTACTGATGTTCCAATTTGAAACATCAGTACCGAGTTGCTGTATGGTGCGGAACACAAACGATTTTTCGTCCGCGAAAGTAAGTGGTGTCTTAAACATATAACATAAAGAACATGTCAAAAGACGGTAGATGGCACCACTTACTTTCGTCTCACCGCAGTGAATGATTCCAAAACCTATATAAGGACGAGGAATCATAATTTCGTTTGTGTTCCGAACCATACAGTTAGTTAAACTTGTTAATGCGTATTCTAAATGGAAAATGTTTTGATTGACTGCCTGAAATCACGTACTTTTCAGCGAAATAATTTGTTAAGCATTAACAAAATAATCTGTAATCTTTAAAATTAACAAAATGCTTACAAAATGCATATTACCTTTACAAAACTTTCGGTAAAATATTTTACTTTGTTAAAATAATTACAAACCCTTGTTTTCTACAAAAAAATATGTTTACATTTTACAAAATAAAATTAACAAACTACAAACACATATAATAATAATAACCATTATAATAAAAGCTTTTTGTTTAAAGCCAGTATTATTATTTTTTGAAAAACGCAGATTTTGGACAAAATTAATACAAATTATTCCAACCTATCTTTTAAGTTTAAAACCAAATTTTTTTATTTAAAGTTAAGTTAAATCATATCAATTTACGTTTTTTAACTTTTATATTCCCACTTTAATAATAAAAGTTGGGTATACAATTTCATACGAAGGCGTAGAAGGGCCAACAAAAATTTTACAAATTTTAGCCAAAACTAACTTTGATTTTTGCAATTTCTATTCTATAATTGTAACTTGAACCTACAATTGTAACTTGAACCTACAATTGTAACTTGAACCTACAATTGTAACTTGAACCTACAATTGTAACTTGAACTTACAATTGTAACTTGAACTTACAATTGTAACTTGAACCTACAATTGTAACTTGAACCTACAATTGTAAGTTCAAGTTACAATTGTAAGTTCAAGTTACAATTGTAAGTTCAAGTTACAATTGTAAGTTCAAGTTACAATTGTAAGTTCAAGTTACAATTGTAAGTTCAAGTTACAATTGTAAGTTCAAGTTACAATTGTAAGTTCAAGTTACAATTGTAAGTTCAAGTTACAATTGTAAGTTCAAGTTACAATTGTAGGTTCAATAGACTGGGCCAAAAAAATCAACTATTTTTTTTTGAAAAGTATATCGAAAATATGGTTTGGGGTAACAAAAAAAAATATTGTGAAAGTTTGAGTCCATAATATTAATATTAAGATTTTTTTTTCCTGAGCGAGTTTTTGTCTCAGAACTCCCAAATCATTGAGTTTAACAAAATTTACTTAAGAATATTTTTTGAAAAAAATTAAATGTTCTAAAAAAAAGGTTTTATTGGAATTTCCCGTCAGATGAACCGTTTTCTTACAATCATGCCTTAAAAATTGGTTTAGTTTTACAATTTCTTTTAACTTTGGAATATTGCAGTGGCGGCTGGTGGATTTTGGGTATACCAATATTTCAGTTATTAGACATGGGATCCACACCAAATTTATAATAGTTTATAATGACATTAAATAGACAAGTTCGGCTCAAACAGAATTTAAATTGAAGTTTGAGAAAAAAGTTAGTTTTTCCTGTCGCCTCACCCGCCTCCAGGCCCCCCTATTTAAGATAATTCGAATTAAAGTGGTGCAATTTATTATCTACTATAATTTAGAGCATTTAATTTTCTTAAAATAATATTTTCGAGCCAATTTTGTTAAACTCAATGGTTTGGGAGTTCTGAGACAAAAACTTGCTGAGGAAAAAAAAATTAAAATTGCGATGATAGACCTCTTAATATACCTACCATATTTTCGATATACTTAAAAAAAAATAGTTTTTTTGGCCCAGTCTAAGGTTCAAGATAAAATTGTAAGTTCAAGTTACAATTGTAGGTTCAAGTTACAATTGTAGGTTCAAGTTACAATTGTAGGTTCAAGTTACAATTGTAAGTTCAAGTTACAATTGTAGGTTCAAGTTACAATTGTAAGTTCAAGTTACAATTGTAGGTTCAAGTTACAATTGTAAGTTCAAGTTACAATTGTAAGTTCAAGTTACAATTGTAGGTTCAAGTTACAATTGTAAGTTCAAGTTACAATTGTAGGTTCAAGTTACAATTGTAGGTTCAAGTTACAATTATAGAATAGAAATTGCAAAAATCAAAGTTAGTTTTGGCTAAAATTTGTAAAATTTTTGTTGGCCCTTCTACGCCTTCGTAATTTCACGAGTGAAATTTAAAAACAAAACAGCATGAAATAATTAATTTGTGCTGCATAAATCTACTGGAGATGGGACGGTATCTGCGGAACTGTTACTTTGTCGCGGTATTTTTTAATACCGTCGCGGTATTCCGTTCCACGCCGAAAGCACCGGTTACTTTGGAACTGCTAGAGGGTCTAGGAAGCAAGTCGCTGCAGGGGCTTCAGAGCGCTGTGTCGCTGTTCCCTGCACTCGGTTACTTTTCGTTCGCGTCGCCTTTTAAGTTTGTAGTAAAGAATAGCGCGATTTTAACCATGAGGGGAGAGCAAATTAGTATTTGTCATGAATTTGGTAAACTTTTTTTAGTGTTTTTTCAATACAGAACTACTAAAACTTTTAACATCGTTTTTATTTATAGCAACAAAGAACACGAAGTACTTAAGGTGCCGGTCATAAACCTAAACAAGCGATAGGTGTAGGGTATTTTATCGCGGTATTTTGTCGCGGTATTTTTTTGTCAAACTAAAGAGGATAACCAAGGGAGGAAAGCCTATTTGCAATTCTCGATAAGTAACCTTAAACATCTGCATGACCTAATATATTATTTGCCACCATGACAGGTACCTTGAAACACCCTAAACGAAGCATTTTTGCTTAAACAAAAACTAACCAAAAAAAAAAAAATAATAAAAATAAACAAAGTGTACCAGTAACATTGAGACAATAGTAACAAAATAACATAAAAAAAAAAAACAAAACAAAACCGCCCCAACTCTTAACTCTTCACAGGATCACCCTGTACATAAAATAATAAAAAATTAATGTTAAAAAAAAAATTTAAAAGAGAAAGATAAATATTAAATAAATAAATAAATGTGTCCCATTCACTACTAAATATTTCATTACAAAAAATATTGTTAAAGATCATCATTAAAATATTCCTCCATTGAGTAATAAGATTTATCAAACAAAATTTATTTTAATTTGATTTTAATTTTTTTTATCTACTTCCCCATTGATAAGCTGTGACTTTATGGCGTTTTAGTCACGGGCTGAAGTTAGCTTTATTATAAATTGGGAAAAGTAAGGTTAAATCCGTTGACAGTTGACAGATGTAAATTTTTTAAGAAATTAAATTGGCTTTAAATTCTTCTTTTTGTTAGTCGTAGATAAAGTATAGGATGCAACTCGTTTTATAAACTTTTCTAGACCCTCAATTTTAAACACTTGCCGCTCGTGCCTAATAAAACTCGTAACTAAAATGACCTTTATAAAAGTTGATACATAATATACTATAATGGAAAGTTATCTAAATAATTATTGTTCTGGTAGCCTATTAAAAATCTTAACTATAGTATTTGGAATATTATTCTGAATAGGTATAAGTAAAATTTTGTTTATTAACTGAATAATTAGATCTAAATCTTTTTTCATAACAATGCCCTTTTTATACTTAAAATAAATCTATATTCTTTTTCACGAACAAAACCACCTCAAAAATAAAAAAAACAATAAATAGTTCTTCTTCTTCTTCTTCTTTGACTAAAACCCACCTATTCAGGGTGTCGGGTTGCTGGACTTCACCCATGAAGTTCTATTTCTAGCAATTGCCCTCATTTCATCTTAAGTATTTCCTCTCTTTGCGCCAATTTCCTTTTATTCCTCCATATTTTATTTGGTCTCCCCCTTTTTCTTTTGGCAGTATTACTACTACTTTCTTTACTAGTGCATTCTCGTCCATCCTAACTATATGTCCATACCATGTCGTCTCTCAATTTTTTTCATAGTCTCCTCTTGTTCCAGTGATTGTCTTATAATTGCATTTGTTAACCTATCCCATTTTGTTTTCCCCGCTATACTTCTAAAGAATATCATTTCTAGTGCTGTTATTTTGCTCTCGTGATTTTTGCTCAGCGTCCATGACTCGCATCCATACGTATTTACCGGTATTGCCATTGTATTGACTGTCCTTATTTTAGCCATTTTGCTTATTTCTTTCTTTCCTAATATTGTTTTATTTGTGGCATACTACAATTTGGTACTTTTGTTTGCTCTATTTGCTATGTCTCCATCAATTTTTTCATTATTTGATATTATATTGCCCAAATAAATAGTTAAAAGTCTACAACTGTTAAAATAAGGTCAACATGATGTATTTTGTTTTACTCTAAAAATTCTTATAATACATATTTTTACAAACTAAATATCCTCTCTGTATGTGTAGAATAAATAAAAATATAATGCCATATTCAACACTATAGTTTTATAGATTAAATGTCAATATTTATGTGTTTTCACTTATTGTTTGGGATACAATTTTTAATAAATAGCAGTACTTTGCTATTTGCAAATTTATCTATATGACTTTTCCAATCAAGTCACTCCTTAAAATGATACACTATCTAGAAACTACAGCTGTAGTTTCTGTAATATAAGATTATAGCTATTTAATAAATTTATTTATGTTTCTTTGAAAATTAATTTTTTGAGTTCTATTTTTGTTTAAAAGATAATTATTTGATTTAAACCAATTATCTAAAATTTCTATTGACGAACGAATATGGCAATCTGCAGTTTTAATTGTGTTTAAACTAAATATTAGAGACATGTCATCGGCATATTGCAATATTATTTTTAATAATATACAGTATAGTTTGTTCGTTTAAATAATGTAATTTTTTTTTTAAACTTAATTATGTAGGTGAGTTATTTTATACCAAGTTTTCTAATAATTAACTGTTAGTTTGTGGGGACTTTAACATAAATATATCTAAAAAAAACTTACAAACAAAACTTTTCCGAACACAATGCTTTCAAAATGGATAAATTCGTACACAAGAGTGACCAAAAGAAGTAAAACTAATAGATAATTTGTTTACAAATTTTGTAGAAGTTAATGCAATATCTAATTATTCCAGTCAATTGATTGAATTTACTATTTTTTATTTTAAATTAAATAACAAAATATCTT